AGAAAGAAAAACATTTTTTTTTTTTTTTTTGCTACTAGTATGGTTTGAGCTTAGGGCTTCCCACTAAGCTTTCAACTTTTTTCACTCAAAGCTGGCACTCTACCACACTTCTACTTGTGGCTTTTTGCCAGTTAATTGGAGATTGTCAGATTTGTCTGCCTAGACTGTCTTTGAACCACAGATCAGGCTCCTGAGTAGCTGCTACTATTACAGTTATGATTCACCAGTGCCCAGCCTGAGTTCATTTTAATACATTCTTTCCTATCTAGTTACCACCTTTTCCTTTCTCTGGCTTTAGACTCTTTGAAATCAATTTGTCTTTCAGTTCCTGAAATACATTTATTAGCCTAGCTCTACACTTAGCTGAAGTACCCAGCTCTATATGGGTTAATAAAATCTGTTATAAGATACTTCGGGGCCATGTTTTTGTAATAAAAAACATGTTTCCCTGAAACTTGTCCATATGACATCTCCTTCTAAGGAGTTAGAGATTGTTCACCTTTATATTTTATACTGTTACTCTTTCTCCTTTCACATTTGCTACCATACAACTTGAACCAGGCCTCTAGCCCTCATTTTTTTAATATCTAAAGTTCCCTTCCAGTTTTTTTTCTTTTAGCAAAGCAGTAATGACTAAAACTTTCTAAGTAGTTCTCCCTATTTTCCCAAATCTCTTTTACTTTTGCTCTTGTTTTTAGAGGAATAATCATCCAGAACTTTATCACTGAAGTTTCACTGTATCACAAATAACACTATACATCTGGGTGCTGTTTGGTCACACCTATAATCCTCACTGATTACTCAGAAGGCTGAGCTCAGAGGATTGAAATTTGTTTAATTTTTTGCCAGTCCTGGGCTTGAACTCAGGGCCTGGGCACTGTCCCTGAGCTTCTTTTTGCTCAAAGCTAGCGCTCTACCACTTGAGCCACAGTGCCACTTTGAGCTTTTTCTGTTTGTGTGGTACTGAGGAATTAAACCCAGGGCTTCATGCATGCTAGACAAGCACTCCATTACTAAGCCACATTCCCAGCCTCAGAGGATTGAAATTTGAAGGCTTCCCAGGCAGGAAGAATTTTATCTCTAATCATCAGAAAACTGGAAATGGAACTGTGGCTCAAGTGGTGGAGCCATACCCTCAGAGCAGAAAAGCTCAGGGAGAGTACCAAAGCCCTGAGTTCAAGTCCCTGGACTGGCATACATAAAAATAAATAAAATAAAACAACATTATAGCCAAGCACTGGTGGCTCATACCTGTAACCCTAGCTACTCAGGAGGCTGAGCTCTGAAGACTGAAGTTGGAATCTAATCTGAGTAAAAAAGTCTTATCTCCTATTAACCACCAAAAGCTGGAAGTGGAATTGTGGCTTAAATGGTAGTGTGCCAGATGAGCATAAAAGCTAAGGAATAACACCCTTAGTTCAAGCCCCAGTATCAGTACAAATAATAAAACAACACTCATACAACAGTACACAGTTTATAACAGGTGTAGGATAGGGCTGTTAAACTTACATATACCTAAATTTCAAAGTTGCAACTCAAATTTTTTTTTTGAGGGGGGGTTCCGGTCATGGGGCCTGAACTCTGGGCCTGGGCGCTGTCCCTCAGCTCTTCAGCTCAAGGCTAGCGCTCTACCACTTGAGCCACAG